TTTTTGCTTTTCTTTTGATTTCCATTTTGCTCTTGAACCATGAATAAATACAAGAGAGAGATTTGTTGTTGTTGTTGTTGTACAGAATGTGTCAAAACTGTCGAATGTTTTGGATTTGTTTTGCAACATGTTTTTCTTTCTTAATGTATAATTTTGATGTGGTGGTGGTGGTGGTGATGGTGGGGGGAGAAATGATGGGGTAAAGAGATTGGCAATCATATATTGAATGGGTGGCTTATGAATTAAGAACCAACTGAACAGAAAAAATGACAAAACAAATGTATTTCTGGCTTGTTAAACATGATTAGAAATTTTTTTTTCTTTTTTTTTTGGCTGTCCAAGAAAAGAAACATTTTCTTTCTTTCTTTTCCGTGGTAATGAATCTGGAATATGGAATATGAAATTTTAGAAGAGAGAGAGAGAGAGAAATGCATGATGTTTTGATTTTTTTTTTGTCTCAAAATGATAAAAATCATCAGCCATAAGATTATAATTTTTTGGCAATAATCCAGAGAAAATATCAAAAAAAATGTTATTCAATAAAAGTTTTTTTACAAAGTTTTTTTAAAAAAAATTTGATAAATTTTTTTTTGTCTGGACAACAATAATAAACCGATTCTGGGAAAAAAAATAGCAAAGATTTTTATTGCAGAATTCTAATTATCATAAAAAATATATTGTCCCTTATAAATGATGATTTTGTTTTTTGTTTTTTTTCTGTAAGAAAATCTATTACAAAGTTCAATTATGATTACGTTTTTAAGGAAAATTTATGATTTCTTTGCATTATTTAAATAGCCACATCTTTCTCAATTTCAATCTCATATTATCTAACAGTTTTTTTCTCTCTCGTTAAAATCTTTGAAAAAAAAATGAAATTCATTTCGATTGTCGCCACCGTATTGTTGTTATTGTTGGAATTCAACAATGCTCGTCCATCTCCGTTGATACGAACATTTGATGAATTTAAAGCTGCATACAATAAAACCTATGCTACTGATGAACAAGAAGAAATTGCCCGAAAAAATTTCCTTGAATCATTAAAATATGTTCAATCAAAAAACAATCAAAGTATTGCCATCAGTCATTTATCCGATTTGGTAAGTGTATCAAATTCATTAAGTCGTCAATCAATCAATCGAATGTTCATTATTTTAGCCATTGGATGAACAGCAAATAAAAATAAACAAAAATTTAATAACAGCAAATATTTGTCATATTGATTCCAACATGACTATTTCTGATGAAATTGATTTACGTTCATTAGGAACATTACCACCAATACGTATGCAAGGAAATTGTGCAT